TATGCGGGGATGATCCCGCTCTGCCCAGAGCGCGATAGCTGTGCTGTAAGTATGCGGGGATGATCCCGCTCTGCCCAGAGCGCGATAGCTGTGCTGTAAGTATGCGGGAGTGACCGTGGACTTTCCTCATGCAGGGTCTCCTTTGGGCTGCTCTTTCTTTATCTGAGCCGTCATCTTCCTTTCCTGTTACCTTCTGATTTTTCCAGACTGTTTTCCAAGCAGCACCTGTGTTTTGCCATCCCTGTGAGGCCCCCAGTCACCCACATGAGGCCCGTCGGCATTTAACCCCCTAACAGCAGATTTTCATGCTGATTGATTTTGTGTGTTTGTCTTAGACTCATGTTAATTCCAGCCTCTCATCCTCTTTATTAGTCCAACCCGCCATGTTTCCTTCACACTAAGACTCCGCGTTTGAGGTTTCTGGTTTTTTTTTTTAATGAATGACATGGCGAAAGATCAAAGTAAGCTTTTCATAGTGCTGAAAACAAAAACACGGAGACAGAGCCAACGGCCCAAACAGATGAACAGCAAAAGGTGCTCTCTGCCTATCGGCCCGGCGTCGCCACGGCTACGCCTGCCCGCCTTGGTATCGCAGTGACTGTCGATGGATAGAATGCGCACCCCCAGCAGATCTTAATAAGAGGAAGAATCCTGGAAAGAAGCTGCCCGAGAGAATCAGGGGACTGCTGCAGCAGTGTCACGTGACCTGTGCTGTTGCGCAACTGGGACCAACTCCAGACCTAATAATAACCATGACAATAATAATACTGATAATGATATTAATGATGGAGCTGTTTGCTGGTTGAAGGGCGGGGAGCACTGAAGGCATCTTCCTTTCTGCAGGGCTTTGCACGTACACGCGCGTATCTGGGCCTCCAGCAGCCTCCTGCGGCCTCCTGCTTACTCCCAAGCTCCTCAACCTCCCAGGCTGATCGCTTCCAGATGTGCCGTCCCCCAAAGACAAGATTCCTGCTCCTAAATGCATGATTATCGCCACTTTTTATGGTAGCTGTATTTGTTTTTCTGTCCAGGGGCTCTTTTTCACACTTTAGTGTGTCCATGGATGGGGCCTTATAGTAAACAGTCTGGTTAGAACATAAAACTCTCTTCGGTTCTTCTGCACAAGCTACCGTGCTGCGTGTCTGCAGTGAAAGTCAGTGAGGAGCTATAGTGTCCTGCACTCCCCCAGCCCATACCATACGCACCCTCAGGACGGCCCACGGTGAAGCCGTCTGCCTTTTCGTGGTTGAACACATGTCCAAGTGGAGTTTCTCCTCTTTCTTCCCGATTAATTTTTTTGTTTGAGTCCCTTTTTAAAAATTGTTTTGTGTGTAGGAATGAAGGTGTTCACGTATTCATGATGTTGGGGGTGATGTAGGGGTGGAGGGGTCGCTAAAGGGGAATCTGCCAGCAGCCCAGGGTGATAAAAACGGATTTATCAGGGCAATGGAGTGAGAGAAGCCCTGTAGCCCAAACTGCACACCCTCCTCATGGGAAGTAAATCCAGACCATGACTCTCTCTGAAATGCTACCAGCTCATTCAAAAGAGCTCAGTGCAGAGAGACAGGCACCAGTCTGGGCAGCCTGCACCCCGGGGTCCTCAAAGCGGGGCCAGAATGAAAATGCAGGGCCAGAGATGGGTACTGGTGCTCCCAAATGAAAGAAAGGGGCGGGGGCACCAGAGGGTGTTCCGCAATACCAGGTAAAATATTACCGTGTGCTTTGCTTGATGTTTTCCAGGAAACTCTTCTGACTAGAGAATTAAAGATTACCCGCATTAAAATTCCAGATTATTTCCTACTTTAATCGCATATGTTCCTGGCGTTGCAATGCTCTGGGGTTTGCCTGCATCTCCTTTGATTCTCTGCATCAGTCCTTCCACAGCATCCCGAAGTCTTAATACTCCAAGTCGTACTGCTAATGTCATGTGACCATTACAGACAGCATGACATCACACATGGTATATGTGTTAAGCCGGGCCTGGGTCTGCTGTCTACTATACATCAGTTACAGCAGTAAATGTAGTAGTGATACCGTAAGGCACTTACAGCATGGAGAGAGATCCTCTAGATAGGAGTCATGATCTTATAATATCACAATATCTCAAAATTAATTTTCAGCCTTAAAGCTAACAAAGGAATGCAAATATATCCCTTAGAACAATACTGGTGGAATCCTTCGGAAATAAATCCTCTTTTATAATGTCTGATCCTGCTGATGATTATCTCTTTATCTACGAATGCGCAAATTGCATTTAAACCCATTTTGACACACTCCCTTGTCACATTGGCACCAAATTACCAACTAGGGCAAGTTTTTATAAATCAGGTTGTAAGAGGGGAATGACTTCTGTCACAGAGACCAGATTATTTTAGCTGACATACAGACAGAACACATCAGGATTGTGGCAAATTTTCATGTTATTATGTAATAGCACCTGCATTTTGTAATAATCTGCCACATTTTGTAATAGATGGCTTGAATGCAATATGTAACAATTTATTTGTATATTTTGTAATAAATTATTACATATTGTGGTGGTTATTACAAAATGGGGGAGTTGTACCTTTTAAGATGAAAATGTAATACTTTGCATTATGTAATAAGCAGCTAAAATGGATGTCTTCATTCATTCTTTGTTGAGTTGTTACATAATGCCTTGTTACACATCCACTGTTTGTCATTGATTAAATGGCCGGTGTCAGTCTTTGTTTTCGCTGACTTCTCTGGTAGACCAAGGTTCCCTAGTTCCAGTCTTGGAGGGCCAGTCTGCAGGGAAATCTGCAAACTGTGTTGCAGATTGGCTGTCCAAGATCGAAATTGGGGAACCCTGTATAGAGGGCCTGCAGGGGCACCGCCCCACTGATTCCATATTCACAGTTAGGTGAATAACATTGATTCTGATGACCGCTGAGGTTAGATGGCAGTCCTGTGTGCTCCTTGTGTGCTTGGGAGGTGGGGATGATGGGGCTGGATGGTAGCCGGACCTGGACTCACCTGCACTGATGATGTGGAGCTTCCCACTGGCACTAGCTGGGACAGGTAACCATCACAGAGACGGATCTCCTGTGGGCAGCTTTCGGGATGCAGCGGACCGCTCTTCCATTCCTACACACAAACACATACATAACGGGCCGTCAATAACATTATCCAAGTAGAAATGAATGGTGCCAAGGACATGTGTGCTTGAGGGGATTTCTAAACCAGTGGAAACAAACTGGAAATCGTGTGGCTTCTGAGCCCTGGCCACAGAAGAATGGCATCCCCAGAGCGAAGGGCGCAGATGCTGTCGCACAATCAGACTGCGAGACGGCCCCTCGGCGGCGAGATGTGCTGACTCCACATCCCGCGGTAATGGCTTGAGCACCCATGCACTGCCACTGCGCCTTTTCACTGTGGTTTTTCCTCTGTGCCAGTGTTCCATTAGTTACTCTGCTCCACGTTGAGAGTGCAGTGGAGTAACCCAATTTTTAATTGTTCCATTTTCCACTCTCAGTCGCCGCAACTCCCAGGCTTTTAATTATATTACTGTGCAGCAGAACTTCCTCCAAGCAGATCCCTGTTGTTATAGTAACGAACGGAGGGGCCGTGATGATCATGGGTGTAACTCTTACCAGCTCTTGGTCTGTCACGGGAGGAGCGGCACAGCGCTCCCCACAGTCCTTACAGGGGGGGGCCGGGGCCTTGCCCTCCACTCGGCGGACCTGTCGCTCACCCTTGCCCCCCCCGGCGGAGCTGGAACTCAGCTTACGCACTGGGTTGGTCAGCCATTTCTTGAGGGTGCTGACGGAACGTCGAGATCCGGGAGAGCTGGGGGCGGACCCCCCCGAGGCCTGGGGGGGCAGAGAGGCCACAGAGGTGGAGATGCTGCCCTCGCTACCCGCCACAGAGTATGACTCTGCAGCATAAAAGAAAGAGGAAACGAACAGAGGGAGAGATTTAGGGTTTCTGATGGAGAACAGGGCTGTGGCGAAAGTGCAAGGAGGAAAAGGCTCTGATATGATACTGAAAGCAACAAATGTGCCTTATTTTCAAAATGTCTCAAACATAAAAGTCATTAAATAAGTATAATGTCTGTAGTATCAGTATATTGGTCATTAAATCAAAAGTATCCAAGTATGTATTGGAAGACATTCATAGCTGTTGAAAAGTTTCTCCTGGCTTCCTCACATAAATATCTGCTGTTTGTGTCAGGGAAACCAAGAGCCAACAATTTAACAGAGAAAAATAAAACCCAGCACTGGGCAGCAAGCAGGTCACATAGAGGTTAAGAGCCAACACCTTCATGGGTTTGCGTGGTGGTTCAAGCTTCACCGCTTTCTGAATGTCGAATGTAAATTTCAGCTAGAGAAATTAAGTGTAATAAGCATGGCAAAGCAGAGGAGAGAGAGAGAGAGGCCTTGATGGAGTTACTCTTACACCCATCAAAGGCCAATTTAAGGGTCAGTAACAGTTAGTTTAGCTGACCTGTGACCTTTGATTACCAGAATGCTGTCACCTAGACCAGTGGCAAATTACAGCAATGTGACTGTAGACACCACTAATCTCTGCTTAGGATCAATCTCTGCTCTGGTTGGATCAAACTTTCACACAGCCCCTGCCTCCCACCCCCTACTCATCCCTCAAGTTTGCTTGTTGCCTGGATGGGCAGCTACTCAAGCACAAAAAACAGGAAGTAGGTGGACGGGATATCGAAGCCACTCCGCACCCCCCCTTTACTCCTCAGAGAGTCAGACATCTATATTAAGAGAGTAACCATACTGCTCCTGACTTTGGGCTCCTTCTCAAGCCCACATAATAAACCTCTAAATTAAATTATTATGCTTTTTTTAAGACATGGTAATATTTTACATCTGATGTCTAAGGTCCATCCACAAAGTAATTGGAGCCTCTGAGTTATTTTCCACTGTTGTTCGTGAGAATAAACTAGTTCGTTAGAAGGTACCACGGCCAAAGTACTGCATATTTCTGGAATATATACGTAGAAGCCTTTTGACATTCTGTCAAGCCTCAACTTAACATTTTGAGTTCAACATTAGACATGCAAACATGAAACCACGGGGAACAGAACTCTCCGGGCCAGAGCTGGAATCAGTGAAAGCCACACGGAGTCTGATATGGATGAACAGTATCGAGATCATGAAAGTCAGAAATGTTATGGTAATTAGTTGTCAAAGTGTTGCGATGCTTCAGGGGAAAAGACAATGTCACACGATTGCAGGGCAAACAGTCACGGAAAGTCCTACAGAGTTACTAATGGAGCTTTTCCACTGCCAGACCCAAGACCCAAGCCGTACTCAAGCCATCCTGCAAAGAGACGATTTTCCATTGTAAATTTTGTGAGCCGTATCTGAGCCATGCCCACGCTGAAATGGTTGAAGCAGAGCTGAAAGTGTGACTAAACTGAGGTGGATGCGTCACCACCCTCTGATTTGTTGAAATGCATACCAGTGATCTGCATTAATATGCATGAATTATCTGAAGGGACAAGGGCATTTTCTGTATCTTATTCATCAGTAGTAGTATTGCACACCACAATGTATTGATACAGTCCTGATAACTTGGAACTTGAAAATTTCCAACCTCTTACTTAAAAAGTAGTAGAGAATGGCTGAATAGAATGGATTCATAATTTCCACAAAATAATGTTAATTCTGCTAACATTTGATGCTAACATGACACTGCGATTTTCACAGATGTGCTAGCAGAAATTAACACGTAGTAAATCATGATGTACACCGTGTGAACAGTAAATAAGCATCTGTTTAGTTTTACGTAATTGTCACTCTCAAATCCCGGCAACGCCTTTATCGAACCGACCATTCTGCAGTGGAAAACCAAAGTAAGCTGGAACCACGCTGTAACTAGTGTCTCTTCGGGCTCCGGGTCGAGTACGGCCTGGATCCTGTATGTCAGTGGAAAAGGAGAGCAAGGGACTTTCAGCACCTATGTGTGCTAAACCACATGCAGTTCTTTAGGTTCAGCTCTCAATGCCCTAAGGACGAATTTCCATCCATCTAGTCATGAGGGGAGTTCAGTGTATGAATGTCTGATGAGTACAGCGTACTGATAATAGGCTGAGAATTTGTTCTTAGAGCAGAGCTCTACACCCCAAAAATACTTTCCAAAGTTTATAATAAGCTTTTCTAGTTTCTAAAGTACTTGTGCATGTTTTTGATATGTTAGTTATGCAGAATTTCTTTACTTGCACATTTCTCATCTCAAAAGCATTAAATAAACATTTGGAGGAGAAGTAGCTTTACTAAGTCAGAGGCAGCTCCTCATTTTTCAGCATGTGTGTCAGGATAAATGTTTAGGCCGCTGTGTTCTGGATGCTTTTGTCCTTCGTCAGAGACCACAAAGCTCCCCGTGCCAGATCCGAGCCTGAATTTCCTCATGCTCCGTGTACCATCCAGCCCCTGTGGTTTCTGCAATGGAACAAGTTTAGCCTGACGCCCCTGTGTCCGATTGCGGATGGTCTGTAGGTACCTCGGGCGATCTTTGAGCAGTAACATGGTGGGGGGAGGGGGGTGGGGAAGGGGGGGGTCTAAGGCTGAGGTGTTGGAGTGTGCTGTGCTAATTACTTCATCGTATCTCCTCCAGGCGGCAATCGTGAAAACTACTCTGGGGGTCTATTATTGAATCGTCTGTTGTCATAATCCCGGCTATTAAAGGCAGGGGGTAGCATGGTTATTAAGGACCTTGCTGGCCTGAAGGTTGTCAGTTCAAGTCTCTGCTTCTGCTGTCGTGATCCTCAGAATGGTTCTTGATTGAGTAAGTCTGAGTTTGGTGGAAGCGTCAGATAAGCCAAGAACTCAAGGGAAGAGCAACAAAGCTTCAGCTTTGGGATTCTTGGGTGGAGGAATAGAGCAGGCAGGAAGGGCTGATGGATGGGGTAGATGGACAAGATGGACATGAAATAAAGACAAGTCAAGTGGAGCAGAAAGGTCCACTTCCCTAAAACAGCAGAGAAAAGAGACACTGTGTTTAAGAAGCACCAGTCTGACTCCTAACACACTGCGTTTAAATCTGACCTGAGTCTCTGGACAAGCCCATCGCAAGGACAAGCTCAGAGTCCCAATCGGTCATGGAAAATAGAGATTATCTTCCAACAGCTTTGGTTTGTTTGACCACACTGAGCTTTTTGCCGCTGAACTAAGCATAGGGTCCGTTTCTCGGCACTGCGCCCCCATCCTGCTCAGCGTCACCCAAAGCCCGGACCTGAAGCTGCTGTGCTGTCAGAAGGTCCTGCTGCCAGCGGGCTGTGGGGAGCTGTTACCATTTAATGGAAGAAAAGCCATAAGGGGTCCTTCTCTGGGAATCCGCGCCAGAAACAACGGCACCATCGACAGCTTAATTACCATACCTGACTCTGTCTGGTAACTTTGTCAGTCATTCCATCCATGTTATTTCAGTCTGTATTTGCGTGTTTGCATGTGTGTCCGTATCTAATGGCAACAGCTCCTTTCAGGATTAAATCAAGAGACTGAAAGAAAAACTAGGTTTTCCTTCTGACTAACATTTCTTTTTAGTAAAGCATTTATCATTAAACCTTCTCATTTTAATTGTTTTTTAATCTTCTTTCTTTTAAAATATTAGTCTTGATAAGTTTTTTTGTTCCTTTTGCATTTTGATTCTGTAAGCACTTTGAGAGTTTTGGTAATGTAAAGTGCAGTATAAATAAAATGTATTATTATTATTATTACTATGACAGGCATTAAAATCTATCCCAGCTTCCCCAGTCTGTGGCCATAAAAGCCTGATATTCAATCAGAATGCTCACTCAATATGGCACCGTACAAAGTTGCTCTGACCCCTACTGAGCATAAGGTGGGTGACATAGAAAGGTATGACTTATAATGGCTGGTTAGTGTAGGATCACCTAGCCAATCACAGGCACCAAAACTAGCATATATCATTTCTGACCCTGATTTTTTTTTTTTTTCATTTCTATATGTTACTTACTATATGTTCTTAAATCTACCAGTGGTGGTAAGGAGTGCTTTGTCCAAGGGACAGATTAAATTTGCACATAAAATCAAAAAATTAAATAAAACTGAAGCATTTTCATCACTCTGTTGGCACTGGGTGCCCTGGCGTCTAAGAGATGGATTAATTCCAGTAATGGTAGGGAGCAGATTAAAGTGCTACTGTTATTAATTCATGCAGAGCCACTCTGGGTCTGCAGCCTCAAACTGACCCAAACAATCCACTTATGCTGTCACCAGTTTAGACACGACAATGGTGCAGAATTCAACGATGAGAGAGAAACCTCAGTCTGCATGGATATCACAGTACATACTGAATTAATGTACTGAACGGTGAGCTGGATCTGCCGTAACCCACGGTGCTGGAGAAACCGCCCTCCATCTGATGTGCCAGGGCTGCCCATCGTGGATCTCAGGCTCCCACGCTGTGATTAGGTCACCGAATATGGAATGATTTTAGCTTGTGTTACACTATGCTTATTCAAGGATCAGCAAATACCAGCATTGCCTATGGTTTATTTTCATTATCTTTTTTAAAAAAAGACATTCTCCTATGAAAAGTTGTAATCTACTAAAGTACTTTAGCAGACTCCAGTGTGAGGGAAGCGCTCAGAGCAGCCGCGGCCGGGTCTGGTTCTGGCTGTGTAGATGGCTGCTCCCTCAGAAGCCAAAGGGACGATACGTGAAATACCGACTAACGAAACAGGCATGAGTGCAGACCATCCTGCCAGTCTGAGGACCCGCCTCCCTGCCCTCTTTATGATGGCTTCGGGACCAGACACTGGTTCTGTGAGCTCACCTGTTATTCCATCCAGTACCCTGGCTGGCATCGACTCACCATAGATTTCTCTAACCATAACGGCCTGTATTTGAGGCCAGAGGGTCGCACTAGACTTTTATCCATGTAGGA